TTTATGCGAGAGCACGGCTGAGTTAAACCCATCCAATTTGAGACCGATTTTTAACAAGCTGACAAAAAGCGGAGTTTTGCGCGGAAATGTTTGAAACTCTCAACGTATTTAGAGCCAAGTGTCTTCTAAACATGGTAAAAATTTCAAATTGCTCGTTGCTTTCGATTGAAAGATTTAAATTTTTTTATGCGAGAGCGCAGTTGGGTTAAACCCATACAATTTGAGACCGATTATTATCAAGCTGACAAAAAGCGGAGCTTTGCGCGGAAATTTTTGCAAGTCTCAACATATTTAGAGTCAAGTGTCTTCGTAACATGGTAAAAATTTCAAATTGCTCGTTGCTTGACTTTGAATCATTTTAATTTTTTTATGCGAGAGCACGGCTGAGTTAAACCCATCCAATTTGTGGCCGATTTTTAACAAGCTGACAAAAAGGGGAGTTTTGCGCGGAAATGTTTGAAACTCTCAACGTATTTAGGACCAAGTGTCTTCTAAAGAGGGTAAACATTTCAAAATGCTTGTTGCCTTTGTTGGGCAGATTTTTTTTTTATGCGAAAGCGCAGTTGGTTTAAACGCATCCAATTTGAGACTGATTTTTAACAAGCTGACAAAAAGCGGAGTTGTGTGCGGACATTTTTGCAACTCTCAACATATTTAGAGCCAAGTGTTTTCTAAACATGGTAAAAATTTCAAATTGGTCGTTGCTTTAGTTTGAATAATTTGATTTTTTTTATGCGAAAGCACGGCTGAGTTAAACCCATCCAATTTGAGACCGATTTTTAACGAGCTGACTAAAAGCGGAGTTTTGCGCGGAAATTTTTGAAACTCTCAACATATTTAGAGCCAAGTGTCCTCTAAAGATGGTAAAACTTGTAAAACTCTTAAGAGCGCCATGATACACAACATATAAATTTCGTGGCACTTTCCAGCTGGCATAAATAATTCCATTATTTTCCATTTTATGGCCGAATTTCAGGTATATAGAACTCCAGGGCATTGGGGGCATTTACTTGCATTCTCCCCAAATTGCATTTGCATTTACAACTGTCTGCGGTCAAACAGGAACTATTTATTCTATACACTTGTTCCGAACAAGACTTTACTCATCTGGTTGCTGTAGTTTGGATTTTTTCGCGTCGTCTAATCCCTCCATTCGATGAACAAGTGTTTGGTGCATTTGATTGGCTGAACTTTTGCCGCCCGCGCTCTTTGTTCCCCGCGTCGCCATGGAGACAAGATGTTTAAAGCTGGATGGCATCCCACATTTAGTCGGTGCACTTGACTTTCAGGACATTTTGGCTGCGAGCGTGAGCAGCCCATGTTTATTTAAGGACAATTCAATTTTCAGTATTCGCCTTCAAAAAACCCCCCGAAACATGTAGGAAAAAAAATTCCGATAAAGCCATGTAATAAAAAAACTAAGTATTTAGAGCCAAATGTCCTCTAAAGATGGTAAAACTTTCAAAATGCTTGTTGCCTTTGTTGGGCAGATTTGAATTTTTTTATGCGAAAGCGCAGTTGGTTTAAACCCATCCAATTTGAGACCGATTTTTAACAAGGTGACAAAAAGCGCAGTTTTGCGCGGAAATTTTTGCAACTCTCAACATATTTAGAGCCAAGTCTCTTCTAAACATGGTAAAAATTTCAAATTGCTCGTTGCTTGACTTTGAATCATTTGATTTTTTTTATGCGAGAGCACGGCTGAGTTAAACCCATCCAATTTGAGACCGATTTTTAACAAGCTGACAAAATGCGGAGTTTTGCGCGGAAAATTTTGAAACTCTCAACATATTTAGAGCCAAGTGTCCTCTAAAGATGGTAAAACTTTCAGAATGCTTGTTGCCTTTGTTGGGCAGATTTGAATTTTTTTATGCGAAAACGCATCCAATTTGAGACTGATTTTTAAGTTGCGTTTAAATAAGCGAAGTTTTGCACGGAAATTTTTGCAACTCTCAACATATTTAGAACCAAGTGTCTTCAATTTCCGCGCAAAACTCCGCTTTTTGTCAGCTTGTTAAAAATCGGTCTCAAATTGGATGGGTTTAACCCAGCCCTGCTCTCGCATATAAAAATTCAAATTATTCCAACTAAAGCAACGCGCAATTTGAAATTTTTACCCTCTTTAGAAGACACTTAGTCCTAAATACGTTGAGCTTCAAACATTTCCGCGCAAAACTCCGCTTTTTGTCAGCTTGTTAAAAATCGGTCTCAAATTGGATGGGTTTAACTCAGCCGTGCTCTCGCATAAA